CCGGGCTGGGGATTCGAACCCACCACCTTAGGTGTATGTGGCTGGCGCCTTAGCCAGTTGAGCTATAGGCGCTGAGCCGAGAAACTTTTCTATTTTGTGAATGTAGTAAGAGGCCCTGCAGACCCAGCTAGCCCCTAACCACACAGTCATTTGCTCCAAGAGGGCAAAGCCCTAGGTTAGAGTGATGTCAAGGTCACCAAGGTTCAAGAAGCAGAATCTGATGCCTCTGGTGTTGGAAGTCTGGACTCTATTGCTTGAGGGTGCTTGCCTAGGTAGCTAGGACTGTGCTGTGGGATTCCAAAGCCATAGTCAGATTCCACCTAAGAGTGACTTGGTAAGACAAATTGGCCCCAGAAAGGGGAAGGGTTACAGGAAAAGGCACTCAGTGGAAAAGAACTCTGTTAGGAACATTGTAAGAATTGGAGGTGCCTTTTTTTCCTCATTCCACTGTGATGGAAGTTCATAGGCCCCTTCTTGCCACCCAGGATTAGAACTCCCTCCTCTGACCCAAGTATGTTCTAGGATGCTTAGAAAGCTCCCATTTACTCTTGCCTCCAGCTGCTTGGGAAGAGAGGCTTCCAGGGAGGGAATGTTTCAGAACTGGCCTGAGCATATGTCTTCAACATCCATGCCACTCCTGGTGTGCCCATCCCAGTCCTCATGGGCACTGGATCTAAACAAATGGAAACACTGACATGGAAGGGCCTCAAATGCCAAGACTGCCACCACCAAGACCCTTGAGGTTAGGGTAGCTAAGCCCAGAATGGGCAGGGCTCTGAATGCCTTTGAAACCAATGATGAGGGGATGGGAAACCAACACATTAAGTGCCAAATCCCCCTGATGTGGAGAAGTACGCTGGTGCAGTTCCTCCTCCAACTATGTTATGTTGCCTTTGTTTTCTTCCACTTGGGTAGAGCCCTGCCACCACAGTAATATTAGGTGGCATTAAAAGAAATACTTTAAGGCTGGGCTCGGTGGCTCACACCTGTAATCCCAGCACTCTGGAAGGCCAAGGCAAGTTGATTGCCTGAGCTCACAAGTTTGAGACCAGCCTGAGCAAAACCCTGTCTCTAAAAATAGCTGGGCATTGTGGCAGGCACCTGTAGTCCTAGCCACTTGGAAGGCTAAGGCAGGAGGATTGCTTGAGCCCAAGAATTTGAGGTAACTATGAGCTAAAGACACCCCGGCACTCTACCAAGGATGACCGAGTGAGACTTGTCTCAAAAAAAAAAAAAAAAAAGAGGCTCAGTGCCCATAGCTCAGTGAGGCTAGCTGGTTGGAGCCCAGCCCAGGTCTGCTAGACAACCACCAAAGGAAGTAGCCAAGTGTTGTGACAGGTGCCTGTGGTCCCAGCTACTCAGGAGGCTGAGGCAAGAGAATGGCTTAAGCCCAAGAGTCTGAGGTTGCTGCAAGCTGTGATGCCACAGCACTCTATGGAGGGCAACATAATGAGACTCTGTCTCAAAAAAAAAAAAAAAAAGGGAAAAAGAAAAGAAATGCTTTATCCAAAACCTACTATGTGCTTTATGTCTATTCTCAGATATTCTTACAACTCAGAGGTTGGTATTTTTCCTTCTTCACCAATGAGAAAGCTGCTCAATGAGGTTTGGTAAATTTTTTTTTTTTTTTTTTTTTTTGAGACAGAGTCTCATTGTGTCACCCTTGGTAGAGTGCTGGGGAGACACAACTCACAGCAACCTCAAACTCTTGGGCTTAAGCAATTCTTTTGCCTCAGCCTCCCCAGTAGCTTGTACTACAGGCTCCCGCCACAACACTTGGCTATTTTTTTGGTTGCAGTTGTCATTGTTGTTTAGCAGGCCCAAGCCAGGTTCAAACCCGCCTGCCTTGGTGTATATCACCAGTGTCCTAACCACTGTGCTACAGGCGCTGAGCAGAGGTTTGGTAATTTATCCAAATCCTCCCACCTGATAAGTAGAATTGGGACTGGACATCTGGGTCCACTTGACTCAGAAGTCAGGATGGGCTTTCTTTTTCCCTCAGCTAGCTGCCTATGGAAGCCTCAGAAGGCCTTGGGGCTGAGAAAACTGCTAGAGGGACCTCTGTGCCCCGGCAGCCAGGCCAGTACAGAATGAGTGCTCTAGCTCTCTGAGAATTGATCCCCAGTTCCCATGCAGGGAGTGGGACTAACTGACCAGCAGACAAGTCCGTGCAGTACGGGGCACCAGAGTGAGCAGACAGGTGGAGCTCTTGCTCTGCCATACTCCTCTGCGGTCTCTGCAGCCGTTTGCATTTCCTGAAACCGGATCTTAGTATCAGAGTCACTCTGGCCAGGCGGGCGCCTCAGCCATGGCCCTGCGCAAGGAGCTGCTCAAGTCTATCTGGTACGCCTTTACCGCGCTGGATGTGGAGAAGAGTGGCAAGGTCTCCAAGTCCCAGCTCAAGGTGAGGGGCACCGGGGCCCAGGGGAGGCTGGCAGACTTACCACACCAGCCCCTGCTGCCTGGGAATCAGGCGTGAACACTGTGCTACTCCCAGGGCACCCAGGCATCCGGCAGCCCAGGTCTGGGGTGGGGAGCAGCACTAGTAACTGGGTAAACACAGCCTGATAGAGGCTGCTGCCCACCATCCAGAGGTCCTACTGGATTGCATGCAGCCCCCCATTGAAGGGGGTGGGGAACACTGTGGGGTTCTGAGGCCCATGAGCCAGACCACATCCCAGACTCCGTGTGATGAACACACACATCTCAAAGTCATGCTTGGGCATGCAGCCTACTCCTTGCTACTTCCTCCTGACTTTCAAGAGAGACAGTTAGCTGGTACTTGTCAGTCACTTCCTTTGATGTTAAGAGAGTGGCATATCGGTCCTCCCCAAATCCTGAACCATTCTGGCCTGATGAACTGTGACCCCTCAGGTGGTACAGAGCTGGAGAGGGGCAAGGACTAAGGACTGAATTATACAGCTATACTTACAAACCCCAGGTTGGGAAACCATTAGCTTAGGCATAGAGAATTCAAATGAGGGCAGCCTGGAATCTGAGCCCAGGAAAACCTCCATCAATGATTGTCTTTTTTTTTTTTTTTTTTTTTTGAGACAGAGCCTCAAGCTGTCCCGCTGGGTAGAGTGCTATGGCATCACAGCTCACAGCAACCTCCAACTCCTTGGCTCAAGCGAGTCTCCTGCCTCAGCCTCCCAAGTAGCTGAGACCACAGACGCCTGCCACAACACCTGGCTATTTTTTTGGTTGCAGCCATCATTGTTGTTTGGCGGGCCGGGCTCAATTCGAACCCACCTCCTTAGGTGTATGTGGCTGGCGCCTTAGCCACTTGAGCCACAGGCGCCGAGCCAATGATTGTCTTCTATCATCTGGACTAAACAATTCCTGAGAAACCCAGTCTTTCTCCTTCTTCCTCCAGCCTTTGGTTAGTACTGCCTTCCCTACCTTGGTTAGGGAGAAAGCAAGGCCCTAGGTTGCTAGAACCAGGGAGCCTTGGAGGAAAGGAGCAAGGCAGGTCTTAGGGTCTACTGATTCATTCTGCGAATAGCTGACTGAGTACCCTACAGGAAACTCTATACCCCAAATGAGGCTAGGCCCTAGATTCCTGGTGTCTCCCCTGCACCATCCCTCCAAAGGAGGGGTACAGTATCAAGAAAACTTCTATTCCTTTTTTTTTTTTTTGAGACAGTCTTGCTCTGTTGCTCAGGCTACTGTGCCATGGCATCATAGCTCACAGCAACCTCAATTCCTGGGGTCAAGTGATCCTCCTGCCTCAGCTTCCTGAGCAGCTGAGACTTCAGACACAGCCAAAATGCCCAGCTAATTTTTCTTTTTTATTAAGCATTCAAATTTTCCCATTTTTAGTAAAGATGGGATCTTGTTCTTGCTCAGGCTAGTGTCAAACTCCTGAGCTCAAGGGATCCTCCCACTTTGGCCTCCCAGAGTGCTAGGATTACAGGTGTGAGCCACCATGCTAGCCAAAACCTCCACTCTTAATAACCAAGGTAGGTCAGTAACATGGGAAATTTGAATGGGACAAAATAGGCACCATACCCCACCCACATCCCAAACTCCCACTTTCCTAGACTTGGAACTGATGAACTTGGATATCCCAAACTGGTTCTGTGCTACAGTTTGTCTCTTAGCCAGATTTCTGGGTAATGAATCATTTTTTACTCTCCCATGAAGGAGAGACCACTACCACCTTTTGTTACTTGGGGAGTACCTCCTAACAGACAGGTTCTTCCTTACACCCTATTAAAATCCCCTATATTGCAGATCAGGTCATCTAGTTGGGTCCTCAGTATAGGTGGGAGAAGAGTTAATCATCTGGTGGAGTCCATCGACTTTGTGCCCCATCTCACCTCCCACACTGCCCCTTTAATATCTTGCCGGGACAATACCATCCCCCATGGCTTGTTGCTTCCAAGGTACCATTTTCCACCTCTCCATTACCTGCTACTCCTGAAATCTCTCCAAGCTCTCTATGCCCCTTACATGGGGAGGAGGGTACAGCCTTTAAGTGGTTCAACTTTTGCTGGT